CATAGCAAAATCAAGTGGATCTGGGATGGGGCTACTGAGAGACAATTTTTCTTTGGTGATGGCACCCGGGACATTGCAGCCAAGGTACGATGCGATATTCCCTCGTGAGCGCAGTTCTAGGAAGGTTAGAAGACTATCTGGGAATAGATTCGCAGTTGGCCTCATTTGTCTTCAAGGCCTCCTCTTTTTGGGGTTTCATTTTTTTTCTCTTTGGCGCCGACCACAATGAAAGGCTCACCAGCTGTCAAGGACATTCCCTGACCAACGAGACCTACCGATAACGATCTCGCCGTTGCGAGAATTCTCCTTCTAATGTTCTCCTGAGTTGGTTCAAGCAGTTTTCATTTGTCTGACCACTGTTGCTGCGTTTAATCGAGGAGTACTTTTCACTTGACTACAACAACTCCTCCATGAGGCCATCGAAAGCCCTTCATTTCATCTTGCAGGTCTTTTCCCATGGCTCCTTTGATCAAGAGTGAAACCTTGTACATTCGGTAACAGCGAAGCCCGTTGCCTTCTGTTACGATATTTCCGAACTTCCGCGGACGATTCCCACACTCTTTGCTATCGACTCAAGGCCTAGTTCATTTCCTAGGTCCTTTCCGGCAATCTCTTTCCAACAAGTGAATGGGACTTCATTGCACTAGCTGGTCGTGACTGGCCTTGTTTCTTAGTATCAATATTGCCTTCAGCCTTTGCACAGCCCCATGGGATTTTGACCTGTTTTGAATAGTCGTGTCTTCAGTGTCAATAAAGTTTTTGCATCGATCAAGCCCTGGTCAAAATCGGACATTAAAATGCAGTAGAAGCCCCAACTATTCGCCAAAGACCAAAAAGGTCAGAATAGCACCACAATAGCAGCAGAAGTTGAGGCCACCGTTGCAGAATTTTTTTTGTGATAACCCTAAGAGTGTTCAAAGGTTCATCGGTGGTGGGTGTGTGATAACAACGCACATCTGCTACCCGTATTGACTATCAGGCGCCTCCCTTCCTTTTCTGTGCGAATCAACTTAATTTACTTTATTTAGAATTCCTCTTTCAATACCAGTAGGACAGCTGATACCTTCGAAATGAATTCTTCTCTTACTCTGAAAAATTTGATTGTAGGTATAGACTGCCTTACAACGACGAAAAAATCATTTGTTCCAAGTAGTTTTTTTTAGGGTTAACTGCATTGAACACAAGTTTGCTTTCCTCAGTGGCAGCTTTTCAGGACATTCTCTTCTAATCCGGTCACTGAAGCAAGCCTTTGTCAGAGCTTTTTTTATACAGACAGGAAGCTAAAGGTCTCTTCTAGAAGAACAGATTTCTTTTGTTCTTTATGACCGTATCGTGACGCTCCTTATCCACGAGACAGAGTAGGCGTGGCGTTTCATAGCGTGGGTTGCTCGTGAAATATTTCATTTTTACACAACTGTCATCTTGTTCTGTGTTGAACCGAGCTACGATTACAACTTCCCAAAGTGAAAATATCTCTCGAAAAAGTTAACCGACGACGCGTTCAATTCTAAGCACGTAGCCACGCCTACGACATCTCGGGGTTTTTGAGTGTATAAGATGTCAAGGGGCGGAAAACGATGTTCGCTGTGACACTGGGCGCTGGGCATTTCGTGGGACCGAGTTGGCACGGCGCCAGTCCGTTTTTCATCAATTGTGGGCGCTGGCTGTCGACCCCAAACTCTGGAAAACTGGATGACGCCGAGCCTAACCCGGTCTTGTGGAATGAGCGTCCGCAGCGAGTAAGGATGTATGTAGCTCATATGGATCACTTTATGAAATGAAATCTCACAGCTGCAGTAGAGTTGCTCAAAATGCGATTCTGTAGCCTTTTTCCGTCACTGCCAAATGGTTCGAAGAGGAGAGAGCCCTCACTCATGTGGACTCTGTGAATCAGTTGGTTAAGATCCGCGTTCGACATTGCACCTACTTTTCGAAGCCAGCAAAGAGGCTACAAATATTATTTCTGACCTTGAAAACCTTACAATGAAACCTCCACCATAACCCGCACCACCACAAATGGCCGACCATTGAGAAATTGACCGGTGTCGGATCAGCTGTTTTCACCTGCAGTCTGCTGCTATATGGGGTTCTCACTAGGTTGGAAATCCTTACGGATGATTTGACTTTTACTAGTAACAGAAAATCTCTAACAGGCTTACTGTGAGGTTTCTTACAAGTTTCACCCGTTTGATGAAACAATTTCTTCGTTATGCTTCACTTGAAGGCGCGGTCCGCATTCTTTTGATATTCAGACGTTTTTTTGACAAGGTAATCCTGTCCGCAGGCACGGAAGGTAAACCATTCTCGCATCATGACACTATCTGTGGGAAATGCTTCTCTCTTGCAACGAGGCCACAGTCCCGCACGGAAATGCCTACCTTTCATTTCTAACGCTTCCTGGTGATGCGATTGTTCCTCTTCTAGCTTTCTCTAACTCTGATGATGAGAGTCAGATGATGAGGGAAACGGTTGGCACGAATAAGCGCGAACTCGTCCGCGCCCTTTTCACCTTTAACCCCTGATGTTGCGGGACTACGACCAGGGCACATCATTAGTTGGGGATTTAGGCCGTAGTCCGTCCTCCATTTCAGGGGGTTGGTACGATCCCCCTTCAACTTCCTCATCCTAGCTATCACTTTCTTCGTTTTTCTCGATTTTGCCAACTTCCACCAATTTCCGCAGCTTCTCCCAAATATTTCCAAAGTGTATTTAAGCCGTCGTTGCCACTCTCTCTGGGCCGGGGGACGGAGTGGGGAGGGCATGAAAATCAAGGAAAACCCCACAAGAAGTCAGCAACCACTCTGAGGAGGCCAGAAGCCCAAATACGACCTCCCTCTCTCCCCCAGCGACCAAATACGACTCTCCCTATTGGGGAATCCCCAAGAACCATGTGTCCTGACTACTATTCTACTCACATAGTAATCGGAACGTGTTTTTAGGCATTGTGGCTGTTTTCTACAAGTCGTCTTTCATAACCGGCACAGTTTAGACATCGCTAAGAATAGAATATGTTGCGTGTCCAACACATGATTTATGTACGCCAAGCATTCTTCTTTTGCAAGAAAAACCGCAGTCATTAAAATTCCTACTACTTTCGAAAGTGCTCTTTCGAATGATGAAATGATGCATGTCAACGAAAGATAACGAAATGCGCGGTCAGCCACTGATCGTATTAGTGTTTTCATCTTCCTAAACAGGTTTAATTTTATAGTTTAATAGAAACTTCGTTCGGACATGAAGAAGTGCTACACTATAATAGTGGGGTTACACCCACAGCCGCTGTTTGTGCGATGAATGGCGCAACTCGGGCTCTGTAAAATCTACTAAATAAACCTCATTCGCACGAGTCTACGTAGCGCTTCGAGGCTGCGTAGTGCGAAAATGCCCCACCTCGAGACCCCTTGAGCTAGATCAAATGCTTTATTACTGTGGATTGTTTGGATGAATATCCGTTTCCTGAAGCACTATCCGTCAGAAGAGGGACCTTACTGCGGCTGAAGGGTCGAGTAAGTAAATGTTCATGCTCTTTGGCTAGCCCCTCTCCCCAGTTCCTTTCCGAGTGATAACTTTTGTGTAAATTTTTACCTAGCCGTTGACCAGCACTGACTGTTTCCTTGAGAATGCGCCGCACGTCCGTTTCTGGTGAGAAACCGTAAGAATAGTGGGTATCTCTATCAATCTTTCACAGTTACTAGCTGGGAATGATCAATGTTTGGGACTGATCAATGTTAAAGTCGTTGTTTTCGTCTGTGAATTGGAATATGTTATTGAGTGATTGATATGCTGAGCTGGCTTAAGTGGGTTCCGATCCAAAAAGGACACCATAACCCTCGTTGGCGACACGAGGAGGACATGCCGTACGTCGGGGAATCCCCAGTAGGGAAGTCACATATGATCGCTGGGGGAGGGGGTCGTACTTGGTCTGAAAAAAAATTTTTTTGCTGGTTGATTTTTCTTTTTCATGGGCACTATTCACATCGTTGGAAGAACTCCAATGGGAGGGGAGAGTGATATCTATCTTCGAGAGAAATGGATATTTCTTGAGTTCTCGGGATGTTTCGGAAAAATTCAGGTAGGGAAGCAGAAAAGTGATAGGTAGGATTGAGAAAGGAGCTCATGTCAGAGGATGGTTTCGGGGGTGGGGGGGGAAGTAATTTCCGAAAAAATTTTCTTCAGCGGCAGGACGTGCCCTGGTCAGACTCCTGTCCCAATACTGCAAAGGTCCAAATGTGTGGATGTGACTCTCGTATGGTTGGTGTTAACTTGGTGTTAACTCTTATCAGTGTTTTTCTGGCCGAATAGAACGGCTGTCAAATAATGAACTAGACTTTTTCGTGGCAGTCTTCTGGGTTGATTTTTATTACTATGGTGGATCTAGACTTTTTCACGTTGGCGCATTATTGCGCATCTGCCTCGTCGACAGATTTCCTCTCCGGTGTGCGGTGTGCGAGTCCGGAGGAGCACGTAATGCAAAGACTTCGCCACTCAAAAGGGACGCCAGAGTTTTGAGACTTTACTCTGACCGTGCCTTCTTAGTCTATTCCTGCAACATGTGGGATCTATGCTGCCTGCGTGATTATGTGTTCTATCGCCTCTCGTTGCTTGTTTTCTCACTTGCATCACTGAGCGTCTCTGCGTCTCTAGTCATTACATGCTCATGCAATGCTCAGAATCAACTGATCACCATTCAGGGTGCATCTTATGTACTCTTTCGCTTCTTCTTCACGAATTAATCACAACCCATAAAATTACATCCGAACCTCAGTGCTGTAATGGTGAAAAGTGTCTTCAGCATAACTGTACACAGTTGGCGTTCCCGGACTCTCGCATGGGTCTGGCGCAGCTTTTTTTACGACATTCTATTTCGACATTTTATTATGTACATCATGCTATTCTACTACTGTCCGTTCACTTCCGTTTAATGTATGTTCTTCATCCACTCATATTAGGGACATTCGTGCCGTGAGTACTCTGAATAAGATCGCCATTTAAATCTAAGAATGTCTCGCATACGATCGGTATTGTCTGGCGGTGACGCCATCGGAAACACCCCATTGCTACGACTAAATCATGTCACTAAAGGATTAGAAGCGACAATTGGTGAGTTGATCACTAGAGAAATGTCGGTTAGGAGATCCACGTTGCGTCAACCAAAGCGACATTTCACGCTCGCGGCACTAGCACCAGAAAGTGGTTGGCTCAAAGTATAACAGTATACTGGGTCAAATAACCAAAAAAATACTAGATCTTCTGTGCTCGCTGCCGCAACGCTGATCTCACTACTGAAACCCGAAATTTTTGTTTTTCGTATAACGTGGATACCAAAAACAACTTACACAGAGAAAAAAAGTGATTATTGCTTGAGATTCCGAAAGGAAGTTATGCTTTCCAGCTGTGAAACTAGAGTACATGAATCCAGCCGGATCGGTGAAGGACCGTATCGCCTTCAACATGATTCAAAAAGCCGAAGCAGAAGGAAAAATCACGCCCGGAAAAACTGTGATTATTGAACCTACTAGTGGCAACATGGGAATCGCTCTTGCCTATTGTGCAGCGTTGAAAGGGTAAGTGGGCTTTGCTTCAGCAGTTAGGAAACATTAGCATACGGAAATCAGTGAATCTGCAAAAACCCATCGGAACCGACTTGATTCAATTAACATTCCTGTACGCAACATAATCTATCTTTAATTCAATCCTATTAATGCTTCCACAAGTTCAGTGCGAAACAATGCGAAACGACGGGCGATATTGCGGGGGGGGGGGAGTGGGCGTGGCATGAACCCATACGTAAAAGAGCAGGGATTTCGCCGAGGAGTAGGAGATAAGAAATTCGAATGGGCGAAAGTCCTTGTGTACATATTATTACAAAAACAAATGCACAGGGGCTGACTGAAGAATGAGATAGTTTTCAGTCCGATGATGAGTTTTACCCAAGTTGGCTGAGCCTGGCCCTAGCCGGTAAGAGAGGCCTTCAATGAGCTTCTTCTTCTGCAAAATCTGGACTGCAGTCATGGAGATGAGGATTGATGCCTGAGTCTGTAGGAGGAAAGGAGCTCGGGTGGGTGAACCAGTTTCTCGGTGCAAAAGGTGATTGTGCATCACCGAAGTTCCATCTCCACTTCCCTTTTGAAGGCTCGTCTCTCCCCCCCCCCTCCTTCAACCGGTTTTCCATTTCCTTCCATTCCATTTCGTAGAGTTCGGCTGCTGATACTAGGGTTATGTGGAAGGGAAAAGCGCGGAACTACTCAGCGACTAGCTTTCGCAAGTTATTATATAAGCCACATTCGCACTTAAAAGTCACTGAATTCTTTAGAAGCAGACTCCCTTCTCCCTGATTGTTCATAATTTTCATTTTTTCCGTAATTGAGTGGATATTTGAATTTCCCTTCAGTGCTTTCAAACGTCTACAGTTAGCATTATAGATACAAACTAATTCTGACGATGCCATCTTCGATGAGTGTGGAGAGACGAGCGGTACTGAAAGCATTTGGTGCTGAGGTGATTTCTTTATTGAAGTTTATTCTATATCAGGCATGAAAATGTGAAGAGATATGATCAATGGGAATGACTCTCATCGGTCGTAGTCATGAATGGAAATAAAAATATTTGAGAAACGAGGCATAGTTCATTTCCTTTATGGGCAAACAGTGTGAAATGGATGGAGCCTCTTACAATCCGACACCACTGCGGCGGTGGCGACGGCAAGTGTCAAGCAGACGTAAATGACCCACCGCTTCATTATTCTTGCTTTGGTTTCTTTAGCTGAACTGGCACCACTTCTTCGATTGCTGCGCGAGTTCTCTCCCAACGCCTCTTTGACCACCGCCGCGGATTGAAACGATATCACCTATTATTGTGCGTAACATGCACCACCAAAACTATCCACTAAGTACCAGCTTAGCCCACTGCAAGGCAGTTGCAATTATGATCGCGCCAACAGAAAACATAATGAGTCGAAAGTGACAAAAGAAGCGGAAATGAACGAAGCAATACCTATGAAAATCCAAAAAACTTGAAGGCGAATTAATATTTTTGGTTCTTTCCCGGTCGTTTTGTCTCTTCCGAATAGCAAGGGGATGTTTCATTCAGGTGGTGCTCACCGATCCAGCACTGGCTGTACGAGGAGCTATTGAAAGAGCAAAGGAGCTAGAAAAAGCAATACCGAACGCATACATTCCTAATCAAGTACGTTTCTCTTTTGATTGTGGAAAGGTCCAGGAAATCTTATTGTTGATCGCTCGAACAACTTACCATTTTTTTGGATAGGGAGGGGGAGATGGCCATTAGCAACTTCTTTCTCATGAACTGACTTTGTTGAGACTAATTTTCAGTTTTCAAATCCAGCGAATCCTGAAGCTCATTACTTAACAACTGGACCGGAAATCTGGAAGCAGACGGATGGAAAGGTGAGAAGACTGCTCGTTTGTTGTGATCAAAACCGAACATTTTATGCCTCTTACCACTTAAGACTAGCTCATGCAAGTGTTCTACGTTCCATAACTAGTAAATTTGTCCAGCACTGAAAACTCATGCACATAACCAGAGCACTACTTTGTGGGTTTATGACCATTTCTTTCGCTTTTTTCACTGTAGCACCGTGGCACCTTTGCCTTCATTTCAAACCCGTCACCTAAGTAGCGTGCTCACAGCCCACTGGCTAAAGTAGAGTCGTTTGGAGTGGATCAGCGACAACAATTGGTGGAGAACAATCTGTTGCCGCGCTAAACCACCCCCTGACACGCCCCAGCGTCTGCAGTGGTTCCTCATAGAGACAAGCTTGTACAAGATAACATCGGGTCAGTGAAGTATAATAGGTGAAGAAAGCATGGGCTAGATAGACTAGAGGGAAAGAGACTCAGTGGTGCAATAGGTGTCAGAAGTGCAAATAGTGCCACATATACGGGATTTGCACCAACAGCTGCTGATTTAACCATCCAGGTATTATTCGTCAAGTCACTTGCTAAAACAGTATCCCTTGGGTGTGGATGGTGCGCGACATCGCGAACTCTGAACGATGGAGCGCGTTCATCCTTCGCAATCGCGCGATTGGGAAGTATGCATGCGCTCTTAGTGGCCGTGGCGGCAGCGCGCTACTCTCACAACTCCGCCCAAACACTTAGCACCACTACCTCTAACTACGCTGCCAGTCTTTCAGCACTCGCTCAGGCTTGTTGATCCTCTATGACTGAATGATTGCAGCATTTCTTCAGGTCGACGATTCGTGTGACCTTTCGGGCCAGTCGGATTCGCGGTGCTGGGTACCTGGCAACGTGCACAGGAAGTAGGGCCGTTATTTGAAGGAGAATAAACTGTCCAAACAATAGAAGGCTGTTTCTTTATATTTCACGCCCAAACGTTGGCGAGACGCCAGGAGATTGGTGGGTGGCTTCAAAACTCATCCACGTTTGATACCTTCTTGATAATATATTTTGCCACTTGACTGACTCGGTCATTCAGCCACCAGTGTTAGCATGGGGTACTGACCCCTCTAATGTTATAGTTCATTGCGCAGCCGCTGGAGCGCCGTGCAGGCAGAAGGAGTTTGTCGACCGCACCACTGTCGAAGCTCGGTCTCAGCCTTTTTTTGGTGTCTGAACAAAGCGTATGCGACAAAAACTTGGGGATAGACAAAACGAGTGATCACGCACACTTGGCGTATCAATCATGACAAGAAATGAACCTTATGCCCTCTCAAAATGTACGATGCAGAACCGATCTTGAGCATAATCCGCTCCCAAATGCCAGCCGCGACTGCAATCCACGCGCCCCGAGTCAGCAATGAGGAGGCTTGTAGCTAAATGCCAGCAATTACAAACTGAGTGGAAGTGGATTGCGCGGCTCATTCCAAGCGCAACTGACCAGCTTCGTGCATTTCACCCATTTGAGTGCGTACAGTGAAAAGTCAAAGGTTTTGACGAGAAAATGGAAAATTAATAGATCCAAGAAAAATCATTGCGCCTCGAAACGTAGTCATTGCAGGTCTACCCAGTAGAGCCATTCGAATCATCAGCCATTAATGGTCTGCCGCACAGTCCTCATAAGATTCAAGGTATGGCTGCTTCAGTTCTTCTATCATAATTATTTCTTACGATTTGCCTTCAAGGCATGGGAATTGGCATGGTACCTGAGGTACTTGACCGATCGCTCTTCGACGAAGCCTTACGGGTACATTCGGACGATGCCATAGCGATGGCTAAACGACTCGCTGTTGAAGAGGCAATCCTTGGTGGTATCTCATCTGGAGCGAACGTCTGCGCAGCAATTCAGGTAAAGAGAATTTTCCTCTTATGAGTCAGCTTTGTGGTTCTTCCAGAACTTTCCTCACATTCCAATATTTTCAGCTCGCAAAGCGCCCCGAGAATAAAGGAAAACTTATTGTGACGACCGTCAATAGCTTCGGAGAACGTTACTTGTGAGTTTTTACCCACCGAGTTCGGATAATTTCCCATAATATAAGTCCGGAAGGCTACTGAGAAATCAAGGTCAATCAGAAGGTCCTCCATAGCGATCTCAGTATTGGATTGTGAGCATCGGCCATTTGAAACCAAACTCTGACCGAATAAGGCCAGCAATTGAGAGCTTCGGAACGTTGTCCAGATTTCGCGATGACGAGCGCCGACGCGCTGTGACGCGTAGTAACGACGTCGACGCAAATTCTGAACGCTGTCTCAGAGAATACTGTTTTGGTAGGATGTAAGATCTCTCCATAACGGAAACGAATGCTACTCGCAATTTTTTTATGGGAAATGAAATGACCGTTCTATCATCAAAAAGCAGGTGAAGGCGCTCTCCAAGAGAAAAGTCCTTCATTTCCTCGTTTGACAGAATTTCGGCGAAGAGTAGAGTGAGAGTGTTGGTGTTTCTGTCAAAAATTCTGAGATGCAGAAATTGTGAAGCGTAGTATCTTCAGACTGTGTAAAGATACCAGTATATGACATGGTATGTGGACGTTTTACTGGCGTTTCGGGTTCACGTACAAAAGGGCTTGTACCCCAGCTGATTCGCAAGCTGACTCAAGATACCGGATCACTTCCATGTTCAATCAGTTAGGTGGCAGTGTGAGTACCGCGCACGTGACGCAGCTCTCGACGGCCGCAACTCCCTGCAACCAGTAGGGCGTGAGTTGGAGAGCAGTCACGGCGGCCTATTCTACCAGTGTCATCCTGAGCCCACTACAGCTGGCCCTCTGCCCTGGCTACGCTCCAGTCCACATTCCTTTGCACGCCCTATCCTTTGCAAGAAAAGACTGTACACCAGCGCTGAAACGTGGATGCAGTGCCCGGGAGACGGGCAAGAGAATCGTAAATTGCCGCTCCGTCGCGCGCGGCAATGGGCGCGACGTTTCCTTAATTTGCACTACCCTTTCGATGGAGCATCGGATTTCATGTAGACAAGGACATGGTAGACACTTATGTCTATTTTTGGTCATACATTGTCTATTCTCGACCAATACCACCTAAAATCGTCGTCATTAGCGGCGCGACGTCGCACGCGACGCCCACTGGCGCGGCGAATTACGATCCTCTTCCACATACCCGCGATGCCCCATACTCCGGGATTGCCACACAGTACCGAAGCGCGCGCTTTGGTACTGTGCATGCGTGGCAAAGTCACCATCTCGTGACTGTACGCCTTATTTTCATTCACAGCGCCCGTAAGTCAGGCACTGATTCTAGCGTCATTCGATGGAGGATGTTTCAGGTCATCAGCATTGTACTCGGACATCACAGATGAGGTCGCTGCCATGGACCAAATGTCAGTTGAGGAGTCAATCGCCAGAGCAAAAGCATATCTGGGAATTTGAAAAGACTTTAAAGCATATATAATTTACTTAGACTCCTTGTTATGGCTTTCTGAATAAAACGTTCTTCTCATGATATCGTACATACTTTCGTAACACTTATGGGTCAGAAGTACCGCCGTTGTCAGGAATCTCTGCGACAGTTGTTCTCGTGATTAGTTTGCAGTCCTAAACATTACGGTCTGTCGGGGTGGCACAGCCGCGCTGCACTGTGACGCGACAGCGGCTGCGGCTCGGTGACGGCGAATCAGCTGATTTCGATGGAATTCGGCTGCAAATTCCCACTTTTTCAGCTCTTCAAGCTTCTAAAGTGGAAGGTGAGTTATTCTGACCAATTTTGAATTGTACTGACTCTGAATGAATCTGAAAGAATGTAAGCCATTGAATAAATGCCTGAAATAAGGCAAAATACAAGGAAAAGAGCATATAATCGACAAAATAAAGGAAATCAGAGCCAGTACAATTCAAAATTGTTCAGAATAACTCACCTTCCACTTTAGAAGCTTGAAGAGCTGAAAAAGTGGAATTTGCAGCCGAATTCCATCGAAATCAGCTGATTCACCGTCACCGAGCCGCAGCCGCTGTCGCGTCACAGTGCAGCGCGGCTGTGCCGCCCCGACAGTCCGTAATGATGAGGACTGTACATGATAGGGTCGCGAGCAGGCAAATCCTAATGTTGTGGAAAATTTTGGCTAAAAACAATCCCTGAGGCGTGCCGGAATGGCTGAATTTGTCGCGGCGTCAGCCTGTTTCCTAAGTCTCTTCCACTCCACCATTGGTGGAGGACGAACTGGCTTCGCGCCAAACTCAGCCTTCTGAATCTTTAGAACTCTGATTCGTCCATGTATTAATCGTCAGTATGCGACGTACGGACAACTTCATAATTTTGCATGATGGAATAGCAATCGACAAATTTATAGACGTACACCATAGGTGTAGGTTGTGATGCGCAAGAGTGAAATCGCTTATGGTAGAGGCCCGTCGCCAAAACTGAAACGACTCGCCGAACACCACCCGGTGAGGCTCTCGGCAGGCCCGTTTTCCTCCAATTCTCTTCTCAGCTTCCGTAGACCCGTCCTAAACATATGATATGGAGTATGCAAGAAGAAGAGAAATAAGCGGATGTCTAGACGAGATGTTGCATGTTAACATTACATCAGTTATGATGATATCACTTCTTTTCTCCCATCACGTCACTGTCATAAATGAGACCTGTACAGCTTCGTGCTGACGGTCGATTCAAGGCTCTGTCGCCCCGTCGACGCGTCGCTTTCAAGGCTGAGTTGCCAGAGGACGAAGGCAGTTGGCACAATAATCGCTAAAGACGAGTAGGATTATCACGCCTGGCAGGACGGATTCCGCGCCCCTGAGAAGGCGCTGCGCAGCGCCCTTCCCAAGGAAGGTACCCTTATAAGGGCCCTATCAAGCTACAACATACCGACCCGAACGCCCACCACGCCCGCCCACAAATGGACGACCGTTCCTGACGCTCGTATTGATTCATTTGCTAAGCAAATTATGAAGCGAAGGGATTGGTATGAAGCGGCCGTGCTGCATGGATATATGAGTACACATATGCAGCCGTATCTTCGGTAGCGGTTATTGGCAAGATGCCTACGGGAAACTCGTCCGAAATCGATTTTCAAGTCACTGAGAACGGAGGCTTTTCTTCGCAGGATTTTGACCGTTTCACTCCGTTCTTTCGCCCACTATATAGCGCCCTGCTAGCATTTTAGGCCGAGTACCAAAGTATCGTGCCAACTGCCTTTAAATCAGCGGCGTCAGGATCTAATAACATGGTAGGCGTGGCTGCGTACATCAATTGAACGTGGCGATATCTGTGATTTGGTGGGATATTTTGTTGTCTCAAAGCGAAATATTCCACGAGTAACCTTTCCGATGCCATATTCAAATGCCACGCCTTCTCCGTCTCAGTGATAAGGAGTGTAAGTGATTCACCTTTCTTGGAGACCGTCCTCCTTGAAAAAGCCCGTTCTCAGTTTCGGCACATGTTTCTCACCATCAGCACCTTTCCAGTCTTTGGAAGCCCCCGACCACTGTTTTGCTACACTAGCACAGGACCATACAAAAAGGTCCGAGTGGTCAGGTGAAACACGCATGTCAAAGCAATGATGCTTGTATGACCCATCTATTTCTGCTCCTGTGGAGATTAAAGGCACACCGCGCATTCACTTAATGTGTAGACTTCTTCCTTGGAAAAGGTACATGGTGGGTACTACTTTCATAGATCAAAAATACGTGAGAAATGACCAGGCAGGGTGCTGAAGACTGGGTTTTGATCCGTTTGTAATACAAAAGGCGGTTCAGTGGAAATTTTATCCTTTATGTGAAGAGAGAGAGTGTGTCCGGCGTGAGAGGAGTGTTCCCTGCGCCACCAAAAGTTGAATGCCACCCAAACAAATCTACAGGTTTGCCCCGCCTCCACGAGAGTCGGAGAGGGAGCTCGACGTTGACATAGACATGATAACGGGAGGGAGGTCGCTCGTCGACGACAAGAAAAGCGCGACCTGCCCGCGACGAAGCTACAGCTGCAGGGCACATCGTTGTTGGGGATTCCCCCAACAGGGAGGTCGTACTTGGTCGCCTGGAGAGGTGGGGGGTCGTATTTGGTCTGAGAAAGAATTTTTTCTAGATAGTTTATTTTTCTTCTTTCAGAAACGTTGTAATCGTGTTTCCCTTCTGACCCTCTAACAATGGGAGAGATTGCTGACTTTATCGTGGTTTTCCTTGTTTCATACTATCTACTATGTACTCCCCCCCACTTCAATCCTTATTCAAGAGGAGGGAACCAGGGGGGGGGGGCTCGCACCAATACCCTAAAAAAGAGGGGAGATCGTACGGACTCGGCCAAATTCCTCAATCAATGATGTTCCCTGTACAGCTGTGCCCAGTGGCCACGAAAACCCCCAACTTTTATTTTTAACTGCTACCTGATGTAGCAGATAAAAATAAAAGTGCGTCTGGTGCACTACTTACTCCTTGAATTCTGAATAGTGAGAGTGAGGTGATAAGAGGAATGATCTGGCAGCAACAGCCCTTCTTCACCTTATGCTCATAATGCCGCAGTTCAACAAGAGTTTACTCACACACGGCGTTTCGGGCGTTTTTTTTCCTAATTTTTCCTTTACCTTTTGTCAATTAACATCTCACCATTAGTATTTGCGCCACACAACATACCATTCTTGAACCCGGAGTCTGCCTTCAGTACCAAAAAGGAACTCTGGTGAACTATCACTTCCAAACCGATTCCTGGGAGGCTCTAGGGAGAGTTCCTCCGTGACACAATCCACTAAGCATCATTAAGGATTTCCTTATCATGATTCTTCTGTCGTCAGGATGGGAGAACACCCCTTCCCATTTCCACTCATATCAAGCGGAGGCGAATTCTGATTTGCCAGCACGAGGTTAAAGGACGCGTCGTGATTACACTGCGTGGTCCCGCAGGGAACACAACGTAGAGACGACTTCGTTGACTCTCGGTTGAAATCGCGTTTTCTTTCCCATCCTAAAATTTTCTGTTATTTTCGTTGCAGAATGTTGTTCCATTGCTGTTAATTTTCTCTCTTTTTATGCCTGCATGAATTATGTTGCATGTGTTTTATTCTCAAACATTTTTTGTCTGTTCTTGGAGCTCAGGATTACTATGGTTTTATCTGGATCTGGACGCTTTTTTTAGCTAAGCATTCTCAGTTGGTCCTTATTCAAATATTTCTGGCGCAGCGCTTTCGATCCAGCTGTTTTTTAACATTTATAAGAACAGACATACATAAGAACGAACGTATTTTATACATTTTTCGACCGTTATTTCTTGGGGTCTTTTGATTGTGAGAGTCTGAGCAGCATTTTCAGCAGACTTTCTTGCTTATAATTTCCAAGAAAAATCGTTTGAAATCCATTAAATAAGAGTGTCATTCGTTTGCTGAATCATCGGCTCCACATCTGTTTTATTAGTGCGCTTTCTTTTCAATTTAAAACAGGCTTGTTTTCGAGGCACAGTTGATTGCCAGAAAACTGAAGCGCCAATTTTGTAGGCTATTGAAGTGAAAGTTAACTAAATAGCTCCATAGTGCTCATTCAAAATATGCGAACTTTAAAATTCTGTGTTCACAATTCTATTTCCTCGGGTCCATTCATTCCTATCTTCTGGGAACTGAAATCTCTTTTTGTTGAGTATTTTGCGGTTTTTTATCTGCGATTGCGCAGAATTTCTGCTTACTGTTTGTAGGAGGAGGTTTGCTTGTTTGTAGGATAGAGAGTTCCCTTTTGCTCTTATTCGATGTCAATCCAGTCCCTACTGCAAATTTTTGATTGTCTGGATTCTTCAGAGATGAATGATTTATGTTTTGAGAAGAGTTAAGGATGTTTTACTGCTTAACCCTTCCTGAAATCTCGTTACTTGCTCGAATAACTTTCGAACTTCGCACTTACCTGTGAATCTTTCAGATGACTAAGGGTACACAGGCCTTCGGTAAGAAGCACGTAAAGTCGCACACGTTGTGCAAGCGTTGTGGAAAGTCAAGTTTCCACATTCAAAAGAAGAGATGTGCGTCGTGTGGTTACCCTGATGCCAAGAAGCGTAAGTACAACTGGGGAGCCAAGTCGATCCGCAGAAGAACCACCGGCACAGGCCGTATGCGTCATCTTCGCAGTGTTCACAGACGTTTCCGGTGAGGCATTACTTTCAAGGTTTTCGGAAAGTTTTTTCTTCGGTTATCCTTGTCTGGTTCTCTTTTCTTTTTCTCTTCTTTCTTGTTCTTTAGTTATTTTTGAGTGTTAACGGTACTTCACGAAACGTACGTATTGCGATAGCCATATGTCAATAAGACTGCTCTCATATCTTGGCGAGTCGGCGTTTTGGGAGAATCGGCGTGGTCAAAAGGATAATATTGATGTCAATCGGCGTTGATTCTCCCAAATTGATTTTCCCGATTCTATCGAGGTTCTGGCTGATTCTCTCAGTACGCTAGCGATCTGCGCCGGACACCCATGCTTTCTTTTCGCTCTAACGCTGATTCTCCCAAAACGCCGAGTCGCAAAGTGTGAGGGCAGCCTAAGGAAAGTAGTTCATGATATAACTGGAAAAATCGGTGCTAACGTAGTTGGGAGGGGCCACGCGGCTCGCGGCGAGTGATGACTCATCGGCATACTTGAAACGCGAATCTAGCAGCCAAATCAGAATAAAACAAACAAGATTCACCGGGAACTTGCTGAAGAATTCCACAGAAGCTAAAAATTTGATTTTTTGTAGTCAACAATAACAGTCAACGACAAACATGCAACAAAATTTTGTAGTTTAGGCAAGAACCTTGCAGCCTAAAACTGTTTCTTTGCACTTTTCAGTGTTAACTGTTTTAACTTTTGAATATAGCTAGGGCGAAGTTATATTCATGTCCTAAACACGAAATTACTTCTATTTTGCCGAGGAGGGAGCAGAAGAGCAGATGAGTCATCGCTCGCCGCGAGCCGCGTGGCCCCTCCCAACTACGTTAGCGCCAAAAAATCAAGTTTGTGTGGACTCGTTTACGTAACCTGCGGAATTTAAAACTGCTCAGAGCTGGATAACAGTTCTGAGCAGTTTTAAAACCATGTTCTTTCGTGTGTGGTTCTTCATCTTACGGCCAAGTCATTAAAAGGGTGTTGAAAAAAAGGGAAAATTTATTACTCCAATAATCCGATCAGTGGCGGCATGATTAAAATGTATTTGAATACAAGGTAACGGTAAACGGTGGTAAAAACGTGACGTAGGAGAAATGCAGAGACATGTTGAACATTAACTGTAGCTTTCTGTTCTTTGGTTCTCTAGAAGCTTAACTTTTCTCCGGAGGGGTGCCCATCTTTAGATACCTCTTTTTAATTCCACACGCAGTTGTGCTGTACTAGTGAATCTCCTGTTTATTCATCTATCACATAAGATTTTTCATTTCCTGTCTTCTTAGAGCAGGAAATCGCATCATCGCAAATATTCTGCTGTCTCACCCTCAAGCTTTACTGTATGCGCAGCCTTCGCTTCGGAACCTGCTTAGCCAACTGCTTTGGCTGTTTTTCAGTTGCGATTTACAAACAATCTACATGACAGTGTCAATTTCTATTTTATTTTTCTTTATTTTTCAGTCTTCTTTACATTTCCAACAACGTAGTTTCTCAGAATGTTCGAGAGGAAATAATGGGTGAACATGAGGGACTTCTCTATTACAGTGACGACTGTTCTCTTCGGTTTTTAGGCGTGTTTTTGCGGTATATGTGTTCTAGCAATGGGAATTTATAAAAACGGAAAACCTCTCACAGGCTTTTCTAGCAATGACTGACGGTGATTATAAATGAAAGAGCATCTTCAGTGTTTTAATTGTTGACTTCCCTTTTTATCAATAGGGTCTTAATGGCGCTGCCTTTGAGTGGGGAAATAAAGAAAAAGAAAATTACACCGTCATGTAGATTATTTGTAAACTGCAATGCAACACAGCCAAAGCGGTTGCATATAGCATCGGAATTGAGGCTGTTTATTCTCCTTAAACGTTCTTAGATTGGCCGCACTGAAGCGTGATAATGTGATAACCGTTTCAAATAGTATTACCTATTGCCACTCTATTACATTATTCTTTTTTCTGACG